CCCCCAAAGTGTATAAACACAATGTCTATAGATTCTACTACATTTTGAAAATGAAATGTATTTTAATAAGCACTGCCTTTATAATTATTCAGAGTGTGCATACAGTTTTTAGGACACCCTGTATTTGTAGTTAGATCTTTCCAAGATGAGTTACGAGTAAAAGTGGAACTGAAGGGATATTTAAGAGGGAAGGAATGCAGTAGTATTTCATTTAGTTTTTCATTCCTTAGTGATTAAACAGTGAGTATTTAAGCTTTGAAGGAGTAGAGTAAAAAGGCAGCGATTAAAGAATGTCTTCTCTTCATGCAAAGGTAGTTTTAGTTTTAAATCACTTGTAATCTTAAATTTACAAAAAGATAAACTGTATTAGCCTTTCAAATTGGTATGAAACTTGCTTTTTTTTAAATAGCCATGCAAAAGAGATTCTACATTGCTTAAAGAACAAGTATTTCAAGGAATTGGAGGACCTGGAGGTGGATGGTCAGAAAGTTGAAGTTCCACAACCCCTCAGTTGGTAGGTACAACAAGTCTCCATGTTGTTGGATGTCTGGGATTTTAATCTTTGCCACTTGAATATATCTCGTGGTAATCCATTTGGTATTAGCACTAAAGAACTTGAACATACTTCTGAGATATCCTCATGTTTTTTACCCAGTGCTTTTTACCATTATTACTTTACACTGGTGTGCACGTTTTCATGTGTGATTTGCAGCTCTCTGTATTTGAGTCACTCAGTTCATTTAATTTTTCCCAGGCAATCCAGCCATCCCCTTTGCTTCCTTGACATTACCCACTTGTACCATTTTCATTTAAGCCCCTTGTTTCCTCATGTCAAAACTGTTGCTGCGTGGCTTCTCTACTTTCAGAAAAAGGACAGACTTAACCTGGCAAAGGTGCACAAGACTGCTCCAGCTGATTCTGTCTCTACTGTCTCTGGAGCCCCAGCATACTCCTGTTCTTTGTGTTAACTCCCCCCCTTCCTTTTTTTGGCCTGTTCTGTAGGTTACTTGTTTCCCATGGCCTGGTTCAAGCCTTTATTGTCTGAAGACAATCCCTTGTGTGGACAGCATAGTCTGTCTTGTAAAGTGTCTGGAGTCAAGTCCTGGGGAGTCGTTAAAATAAATTGTTAAAGTTCCACATTTTAGATGATCAACTCTGAAGCACTGAAAATTCTCACAAAACCAATATATACATACACACACACACACACACATACACACATATATATCTCTCTAAACTTTAAATTAATTGCTGTAAAAAGGTGACTTAATCATCATTTTCTGACTTTTGGAAGTTTTGACTATTCAAGTGTATGAAATTGTCTTTCTTTTATAGACATCCTTTGGTGATTGCAAACCAGGGTTAGGTTTCCATTAATCATGGTCAATAGATTTTCTCACTTTTCTTTCTTTCGTGGGCCATTTTGATTTTCAATCTCCATGTCACAGATAAATTCAGTTGTACGCATTTTGAGTGAATGACAAATAGCCAATCCAAAAATCAGTATTCAGCTGAGTTTTTTTCGTTGTAGAATAAAAGTGAACCACTGTCTAATAACAGCCCTCTTCACGTTATTGATTGCTTTGATTTTCTGAACACAACAACTGAAGTATGAACAACATACGATTTGGGTTTCTAATAGATAGGGTTTTTGGTTTTTTTTCCTTCATTGTGACAACTGCATGACAGTTTTATTGTATAAATATTTAATCAAATTTGTCAGGTTTGGGATACTCATACATCTCTGCAAGTAAAGCAAAAACTTAACCAAGGTGCCTGATGATTTCTGTATTCCTCAAAATGCAGAAATATATATAATATTCTTCTTAACCTTTTCATGTATAGTAGAATAAAATTTAACAAAGTTTGTGGGAACCCTGTTTTCTGGACAGATTTCATTTTTTCCTTTTCATAGAGTCAGAAATGTAGTAAATAAAGTTGTAATCAAATATTCGTCAAAGATTTTGATACCTGCCCTACCACATTATTTTGATTTCCTTAAATTTCCTTAAATTTAAGAAATTTGTTATCTATGCTTTTTTCTGATGACCTTTATACCATCGTTAACTACCATACATAGTGAAGAGTAGAGGAGTCTCCACTTTTTCATTGGATCTTAAACATTCATCATCATGGTATTACTGTGATACCACGTGTGTGTGTGTCTCCTGTGACCCCTAGGCTCTCCCATTTCTGCCTGGGCCATGATACAATTAGAATCATGCTCCCGTGTCCCAGGGGATATCATGCAGTGTTGGCTGACTGTACTGGAGAGGATCATGGAGGAGCAAGCAGAACAAAATTGGTGTCTCGTTGGCTGTGTGACCTGGATAAGCACGAAGTTGTTAAGAGAGCACTTTAATATATACTATCCATAAATATTTTACTTTCTTTTTGGTCAGGTATCCTGAAGAACTTGCCTGGCACACAAATTTGAGTAGAAAAATCTTGAGAAAGTCTCCGCAATTGGAAAAGTTTCACCAGTTTCTGGTTAGCGAAACTGAATCTGTGAGTAGAGTTCTTTAGACTTGTTGGTTTCCTGAAAGTTTTAAATGCACATTAGTGTCATAGTTACATTGTTAACCATATTCGTTACTGGGAGTGATCAATTAGATAAAGTACACAGGAAAGACACCTGTAACTGTATATTTCACCTGTAATCTGTGATTAGGTAGCTGTTATCTTGTTGGGTTGCACTAACCATGAACTTTAATAGGGATATCATCACAGTTGTCAGCTTGATTGTGTCTTGCTACTCCTAGGTTTGGGTGACTGCAGAGCTGGGGTGCCCATACTAACTTTGCTTGTTAGCACACCATTCAGAGACAGCCACTCAGTTCTCTATCTTCTCGGGTGCACATGCCAGGTGCTTGTACTGAGAAAGTAATATGTTTTTATGACTATGTTACATATTTTACTAAAAGTGAGACTTTTAAACTCACTTTTTATTATTTTTGTCTTTTCTTGTTCCTATCTAT